GGGTGGGGGGAAAGACACAGCACGTCACCGTACAGCTGGCCTGGGGAGGGACAAGGACAGGGACAGGGACAGGCTGAGTGAAGTACAGGATGTCACCGTACAGCTGGCCTGGGGACAGGGACAGGGACAATGACAGGGGTTAGGGACAGGAACAGGGACAGGGACAGGGGTTAGGGACAGGTCAGGGACAGGCTGGGTGAAGTACAGCACGTCACCGTACAGCTGGCCTGGGGACAGGGACAGGGACAATGACAGGGGTTAGGGACAGGAACAGGGACAGGGACAGGGGTTAGGGACAGGTCAGGGACAGGCTGGGTGAAGTACAGCACGTCACCGTACAGCTGGCCTGGGGACAGGGACAGGGACAATGACAGGGGTTAGGGACAGGAACAGGGACAGGGACAGGGGTTAGGGACAGGTCAGGGACAGGCTGGGTGAAGTACAGCACGTCACCGTACAGCTGGCCTGGGGACAGGGACAGGGACAATGACAGGGGTTAGGGACAGGTCAGGGACAGGCTGGGTGAAGTACAGCACGTCACCGTACAGCTGGCCTGGGGAGGGACAATGACAGGGACAGGGGTTAGGGGACAATGATAGGGACAGGGACAGGCTGAGTGAAGTACAGGATGTCACCGTACAGCTGGCCTGGGGACAGGGACAGGGACAGGGACAATGACAGGGGTTAGGGACAGGGACAGGGGTTAGGGGACAACGACAGGGACAGGGACAGGCTGGGTGAAGTACAGGATGTCACCGTACAGCTGGCCTGGGGACATGACAGGGACAGGGGTTAGGGGACAACGACAGGGACAGGGACAGGCTGGGTGAAGTACAGCACGTCACCGTACAGCTGGCCTGGGGACATGACAGGGACAGGGGTTAGGGGAACAGGGACAGGTCAGGGGACAGGTCAAGGGTCAGGCACGGGGACAGCCTGGGCAGGGGGACATGGGGAGGGGACAAGGGACAGGCCGGGGGTGGCACTGGGGACAGCCTCGGTTGCCTCCCAGCGGGGTGGGGATGAGGAGCAGCCCTGGGGAAGGGGACAGGGGTGGGGGCCCCTCCAGTGCCCCCTGCTGCCCTTGGGACCCCTCCCCACACTCCCAGTGCCTCCTGCTGCCCTTGAGGACCCCTCCCCACACTCCCAGTGCCCCCTGCCGCCCTTGGGACCCCTCCCCAAAGCCCCGCACGGCACCCAGCCGCCCCGCGGGTGCTCACAGACGTCGGCCAGCAGCCCGGTGTCGGCGGGCAGCTCCCGGTGCCGGAGGCTGAAGTACCCCTCCAGGACCCCGTGGATGCCGGCGCACAGCAGGAACCAGCCCAGGACCAGCCGGCGGGCGGGGCTTCGCTTGGCCCCGCCCTTGGCCCCGCCCTTGGCCCCGCCCCCGGCCCCGCCCAGCGCCCAGCCCAGCGCCAGCAGCG